TAGTATTAAGCTGCAATAAAAGTTATAATTTCTTAAAATCTTTGAATTTGCCCTTAATTTGAGCAGTTAAATACAATGACCTGCATAAGGAAGATGGACTTTGACTTTTAAAAAAGAGAATTAGACATTATGCACTTGGAATAAGATAATAGTGTTTTTTTTTCTTTCTTTCTTTGTTTTATAAATCATCTTATTCTAGATGCTAATTGTCTAATCTACCTGCTTAAATCAAGGCAACATAAACCTACTTCAAGAAAAAGGGACTTAAATAAAATTGTTATAATAATACAGGGGCCAGGACCACTTCTACAGTGGCCTGTTGGCCCACAGTCTAGAACCTTTTCAATATATGTTACAATGCATAAGTCTTTTTCACTTGAAATGAACTTTCAGGGGTACGGAAGAGGACTAGGGAAAAAAAAGTTAACTGATTTTTAAATATTATTTCAGTTCAATAAGGGAAAAAGTCAGAATTCTGACTTTAATCTCAGAAATCTGACTTTTTTCTCAGAATTCTGACTGAATTCTGACAGCTAACAAACATAATAGCATCAAGCCATAGCCATGTCTGTTTTAGAGACTAAACTATCTCTCTTGTTTTAATCACCTTCTGCTCTTCTATTAATGAAATAGCATTACCGGGGACCCCCCGGGCACGTAAAAAGTTGCCTAATTCCGTCATTTTCCACCAATGTGTCACTGGCCCTCCCAAACAACTCACATCTTTGTCAGTGAAGCTGAGTGCTCCCACATGGTGCCCATCTACATTAAGATGCAAAATTCTGAGATTAAAGTCGGAATTCTGAGAAAAAAAAGTCAGAATTTTGAGAAAAAAGTCAGATTTCTGAGATTAAAGTCAGAATTCTGATTTTTTTTTTCTCATATTATACTGAAATAAAATGTAAAAATTTGTAAACTTTTTTTGTTTTTTCAGTGGCCCTAATCCTCTTCCGTACAGGGGTCTGAATAAGAAACAATCCACACTCAGACTCTACCCCCCCTGTTCTGGAAAGCACCGCCTGTTAAATCACACCGTCTTTCAAGATATTTTCACATATGATCAGTCATCAGGACTAAATTTAACCACAATTTTTACTTACTGAAAGTCTGGATGTTTTAAGAAATGAAGTGTAATTCATTTATAAACCTAAACCAACAAAGACAGAGTTGGTTTCTGAGCAGCCCACCCCCTACAAAGCTCGACCTAAAGTTAAGATCAACCCCACTGAGAGAAAAACTTACCGCTGTAGATCCAGAGGAAGAGGCGAGGAATACTTTAATAACCATTTTTACTCCAAACTAAAAGAAAGATTAAAAAAACAATATAGTAATGGTGGCTGTGCAACAAGAAGGGCCTTAAAGGAGCAGCCTGCCTGCTCTATAATTAGAGAGCACCCCGGATAGAGAAATAACACTGAGATTACACACACACACACACACACACACACTGCTGGAAGTATTTTTATCTCCAGACTCCATTAGAGAAGGATTGGTTAGTTGTAGAGCAGCATGTTGATTGGCAGCTTCAGCTGCCTGTGGCTGCAGGGACAGAGACATGTTGGTCAATGCTGAGGAGGACAGAAATAGCAGCACTTAGGGGAAGGGGGCTCGTTTTTACCATTGCATTTTAAATTTTTACTTAAACGTGTTATCTATTTCAGATTTAAATGTATGAATCCAGCTGTTTTGTTTTGGGTCCCCTCCAATTAATATAGACGTGCTTGGCTCATAGGTTTTCAAATTAAAAAAGCAAACAAGAATGAAAAAAAGAGTGGGTAGATGTATCCAATTGTAGTCTCATCTTTATAAAAGTATTTTTTTATTTTGTTTTAAATTAATCTAATTTCATTGTTTAACGTTAAAGGGATTGAAGGACCTCAAGCTGTCCATGATTTTTTTCTCTTTATAAACAGTGTTTGGGATTTATAATTAGATCTACAGACTTATTCTTTTCTAATAATCCATTCTAGAAAGCAAAGTGGAAATGTTATTTAAAGCGTGAATATTGAAATAGGCGGATTCCACAAATTCTTGTGAGGATAGATTTACTCTTTCGTTTGTTTATTTATTGATTCTAAATGCAGGAAATTTTGGCCTCGATCATCACCAACCATAGCCTCTTTTAAAATTACAAAACAAGGTGGTCAAAGCTTGACATTGAAACTAATGGCATATTTTAGATGTTTCCCTCAAAAGTTGTGTCAAAAACAGTTACTGTTTCTTGGGAAGTATTTTAGATAGCTCTTGGCAGTGGCGCCTACAGAAATGTTTGAAAGGGGGGGCCAGATGGGGCCACTAAAAATCTTGGGGTGGCACACTGAAACTAAAAGCCATCATTTCAGGGTTTGAATCTACTCTTGTGGTAAACCTGCCTGTAAAGACTTAAGTAAAAAACTACTCATATCTTGGTTTATTGTGTGATTTTCAATATTACATTGCTGGCTGTGCATAATGGCACGAAATGCTAAACTGATGCTACTACAATTTACACTGGCGAGTGGGGGGGCAGTGGCCATCCCTGGCCGGCCCATGGTGGCGCCACTGGCTTTTGGTTGTTTTAACGAGACTAACCAGTGAACTTACAGCAGTTTCACTCTATCTATCTATCTATCTATCTATCTATCTATCTAT